AGATGTTTCGATTATTTTGTGCGTTCTATTTCTTAATTTGTTATACTCTAATCGCAGAATTTTGTTTGTTGGATCACTCTTCCATTTTATGAATAATTGATCTTTTCTTTTACACATGTTATTAATTTTATTATTTATCCATGGCTGTATGTTTCTTTTACTATGACTTTTAATTATTTTCGTGTATTTAGATTCCTCGTAACATTTTTCAAATTGATTTCTTATGCAATCATAAATAGCTATCGGACATTCTGTAGTATCTACTTCGCTCCAGCTTATGTTATTTAATAGTGATTTCATTTTGACATTATCAATTTTCTCAATTTTTTTTGTAACACCTTGTATACGCATTGGGTCCGATCCCAAGCAGGATAGTATTAACATGCGGTGATCAGCCATTACAGTACCGAGTGCGGCCGAGTAAAGGTGCAACGAGCGCGTTCTTGCAAATATGTGATCTATACAGCTACGTGTAATGTTATTTCTGCGAGTTTCAATTCTAGTGTAGTCAGATATCGCGCTTACTAGACCAAATTCGGACATGCTACTCATGTAATATTCTCGAATGTTATCATATGTTTTCAGATCAATATTTACGTCTCCTAGAATATAAGTGTCGCATGAGTTAACAGAAGAAACAATACTGCTTATTTCCTTAACAAATAGATGCTTACTTTCACTCGGTGGCCTATAAATTGCACATATGTATGCTTGATAATTTTGAGGTGTGGTTATGTGACCTATAATACATTCACAGTGCATTGTACAGTAATTCGATGGTGCAAATACGTGACCCTCTCTTACATAAATTATTATTCCACCACCTTTTTTATTTTTACGCAACTTACTGTGCAAATCATAGCCATTGATGTTATACATAGGAAGAATGTTTTCGTTTATGTTAACTTCTGTTAGGATTAGAACATCAATAGTAATTTTAGATGAATTGATTAATTGTATTACATAACAAAAATTTTTGACTAAGGATCTAATATTTATGTGAGCAATATTTAAGTAAGTTTGGTAAATTGACGGTAAAAGCTTGTTATACTCATTAATGTCTGCACAATCAAAAAGTTCGTGGTTATCGGAGGGATAACTGGGATAACTTATGTTAGAACTGTTACCGATACGTACATTTATTTCCGGTCTGCGTTGTTGACAAAAGTCGAATGATATCTGTTTCACATCTTATGACTATAGGCTTGTCTTTATCCTCTTTTCGTAGGAGAACTTTTCCATCCTGAAACCAGACATATTTATAGGCTGGCTTCAGTTTTTGTTGAGCTAGCCATAATAGTGATTTGTTAGCCTTTGTCAGAGCGCGGCGTAGGATAATTTTCGATTTTGAGACTTCTACAGTGGCTGCCGGTATAATTTGTTCAAGCCGTACCTCTTCCTTTTTGCACGCACGTACCCAAGACTGAGCGTATTCCACTTGCTTCATCTCCAGTTGAATGTTGCCATCACGTTCATTGCGACCTTCCAGACGTTTAATATTTAATATATGTGATTTATCCACATTGAGGGTTTCGGCCAACTTGGAGCCGATCCCATCCAGATCTTCATTTTCGGTTTTTGGGACTCCAGTTACTTCAATCACGTTATCGAGCCTTTGCTGCTCTATACTGCGTACGTGTTGTTTCAATGAACTAACTTCAAGTTCTAAATGAGTTTTTTCATTTTTGAGGTGGGTGTACTTCCTCTCTAATTCTTGTATGTGTTTGTTCTGTGCTTCCACAGTTTTAGTTAGCTCTTCTACTCTTTTGCTACATAACCCCACTGATATTTCTATTGGTTGCAATTCCTTCTTCAGCACTTTTTTCAGTTCGGCTATGATATCCTTCAGAAACTTTTCACTGTCTATGTTCCCCACGGTGTTGCTTGGGTTTTCCACTTCTTCTTCGTCGTCTTCCTCTTCCGGTACGAAGAAGGATGATTTCCGGTTCGGCGAGTTTCGATTGCATTCTTCACAAATCCAGTCTAAACCGTCCGCATTGCGAAGGGCTGACAACTGTTTAGCAGTAAGACCAGAGCAGGCTTTACTTGCATGGACTGTTTTAGCACACGACTGGCATTCCAGGCCCGGAGATCTGCTGGTGATTCCCTTGTTGCAAATATCACATTTGGTCATTTTTGGTGAGGCTAGGGGGTAGTTCGCACAGAATAATTAAGTTGTTAGTACCCGACCGGCGCGTTCGACAGTTCGCGAGCGAATAATTTAACCCGTGATCAGCCTGCTAGCTAGGAGCAACCAAGGAGTATTTTTTTCTTAAAATTAGATTCGACAACAAAGAACACGTCATCATAATTGATCAAAGCCGGCGAATCCATGTGGTCTGTACCTGTAAACCATTTTCTCACTATAGGGCTAGGTAATTTTCATTGTATTTTAATATCTTGGTCTGATTAATACCTAATTCCCTATATAAATGAATTATTACTGACTAATAATATTATAGGTAAGTGCTAAAACATATTTTCTGATTCAATCATCACGTAAGTAATAAATAATTTATTTGACACTGTGTTGAATGAATATATACTTCGTTAACTATTTTAATTTTACGACTGGAATTCAGAGCATTTAGTCCAGCTGCACGAACAATATTATTAAATTATTGGTAACAATCGCAGCCAATCACAAACATCTAAACAGCGCAGCGTTGGGTTTTCCGCTCCAATACATTGAGCAGTAAATGCTTTTATCTACAGCATTTGCAATAGTTAAGTTACGATAAAGCAGCAAATGTAAGTAGGCGGTACATGCCGAGTCAGTGCAAGCAAGGCATGCGCTGCGGCTGCGGCACAGAGTCAGTGTGCCAGTAGGTCACGTTATGTAAGCCCACCGCTTACTTCGTTTTGCGTAAGAATCGTTGTAGGCAATACTATATCGCAGACGATGATTAATTTATGTATTTCAAAGAGTCATAACGGTGTCTGCTGATAAGCCGTGACGGAATCATATCAAATTACTGATTTATGATTCATTCCCAACCTTAGGTTTAAATTTTACCACAACGTAACCATTTGTTACTTAAAGTACACACTACACACAAGTAAATCACAGGCAAAAGGTAGTTCATTGTAGGTAAATTAATCTAATAGATAAACTATACTTCTAAAATTATTATGTTTACAAATAATAAAATCGCACGACGTTATCGGTCAATGACCTTGTTACTCAGTCATTAATAAATTATCATGTCGTGGTACTGTCGAAGATTTTGGTTTCTTGAATTATTATTTAGCACCCATTCGCAGTTTGGATATTTTTGAAATAACCAATAAACAACAAATAAATCACAATTAAAATCAACTACATAGGTATCATATTAATTAATAGAGTCTACAATAATAAACCTTCATAGGCAGGTTAGTGGTGCGTTACACCCGAGCGTGCAGCGCATCGCTTTCCGCGCGCGCCTCAAAGAGCTATTAGACCACCACAGGTGGGGCCCAATAGGGCTGATGCCAATACGGAGCTGCGGAGAACTTAACGGGTAACCGGGGTTACGGCTCGAAGTGCAGCAGTAGGAACGGGGTGGTTTATAGTTAGTAAAAGTCTGACACTCCCTCCCGCCTCACACAGGAGAAGTCATTCGATGATTTTCCCCCTAAAATATAGTGGTGTGTTATATGTCCATGTATATAGACTTTCCCAGACCTTGACCACAGGACTTGTTTTCAACCAATCAACTGACTGGAAACCTTCATACAGTAGGACAGTCAAAAACTATGTCATTCATATTCGCTAATTATGTACTAAAATGTAAATATAATGTTACTTTATCCACATAGATACCTATCTACTATCTACTTTTATAAAAAATAGGGCATACAAAACATGAATTTTGGACCTATAACAAATGATAACATCACTATAAATAATATATATGTTGGTCAGCAAATAGACACAATTACTTTGTTTATTTATTTTAAACATAGGGTGCCGGTAGCATATTGAACAATTAATCAATAATTGCTCAACCATTCAATGATAAGGGAACTAAAACGATCTCAATCGATACATTTAAATAATGTACAATGTACATACAAACGCATATATATATAGGTACGTACTATTATATTTCCGACGGTTATCACTTTATTAATCATAGTTATTAGATGTTAATATAAAAACAAATAACAACATTACAAAATTGATAGACGTGAATATTAATGTGTAATGAAAATGGAAACCTGATAATGAAAACAACTTTAGCTGGAAATTGGAATGGACATTATAATTTCTTTGGTGTAACAATCTCCTATGGTTCCCGCTTTGGTCGCTCGACATCTTGTTATTATGTAGCTGGCAAAAGTAATATAATTTTTATATGTACAATTCACCTCGCGGGATAGCGACTCATGCGATGTCTACTTAATTAATTGCTTATCCTTACTGATAACCCAAAATGAAAAGAAGTAGTCTGAAAACTTTATCGAGAATACTCAAATGGTTGAATGTAATTTGTAAATTAAATCTGTATCATTAATATTGTACGTCTGGCGCGTGTACTTTACGCGTTACAATGTGTTGATGATTACGTAAATAATAATAAATTGTACTAGGTACCTACTACAAAAGTTTCCGCCAAAAGCTGAAGTCGAGTTTCAAATAACTTTGTAGCTACAAGTTATATATATTTGGTTATTCCAGATGTCGGACTTTATCACAAATGTAGGTTTTCTGAACGTTGAGAACCGAAGGCACAGATATATACAACTAGACAGTGGCATAAACTTTGACTGGTTATTATACGTACTACGTGATTCTATGCCTTCAGTTTTCCGAATAATCTCGATGGCCGAATAATTGCAATTATTCGATTACCAACCAAGAGATGTCGGATCGATCTTAGCTCGGGCAAAATAAAGAACAGAGATACCTATAATGACTCAGAAAATTTACGTTGCATTTAATTGAAATATTTTTTTTGTATTGGTTAATAATAGTATAATGTAGAAACTTAATACTGTTAACTATCCCATGACAGGTGGAGACATCACCGCCTAATCCAATGGCAGCCAGCACATCAAGTGACGAATTTAGTTATATCAGTAGCGAGGAAAATGTAAGTTACATGATTTCTAGAACGATTTCTTGAATAATTGTTATACTTTAGCGGAAAATTTACGTTTATATAATTTGTTACAGGAGGAGGGTCATGGAGCTTTGGGTCGACATGTTGTTGGCGTCAACATGTTGTTGTCGTCGCTCGAGGACATTGTAAGTTTCATTCAGTGTTCAAGCAACATTAAGTACAGTTGTCGACGATTCGAATACACAATACGTGTTTTATAAACAATATTATATTTAGAAGTGAGCCACGACGATGTTTATGCATGCGCCTCGGCCGGCCCTGTCTTGCACTCGATAGTAACATTCGAGTGACATCGTCTCTAGCTGTCGATATTCGAGTAGAGACATCAGTGCTTTACAAATTGATTTTGAGAAGCATAGTAAGGCACCGTGATATAATTATGTAGTGATCAGAACTTGGTGCCTAATGATAACATGTGTCTCATGGTGTATGAAATAAAAACTTCTAGGCAGCAGTGCAGAGAACAACGACGATGCGTCCAATGCCTTGCGATTGTACAGAGGTGAGCGGTGGGAAGTACCACGTCTTCGACCTTTTATTATTTCCTTCACGCATGCCTCATCAAAGCAAATGTTACTACTTATTTACTTACCTAGTGTAAGTTAAATGCTTGGGGCATATAACAAGCTTCGAATATCACTTAGCTTCATTAATATTATTTCATTCACCCGCACAAAAATCATTGTTCAAACACGTCATGCTTGTGATTTGGGTGAACCTTTTAATCTGGGATCTGCTCCATTAGAACTTAGAAAGAACTGTATAGAATAAATTTTGTCTACGTCCCTAATTTTAATTATCCAGATAAGGTATCGGTACCATAGGATAATAACTGAACCCTATTACCCAGACTCCACTGTTTTGTCTGTCTATTAACAGGTTGTACCTATTGAAGCATGATAACTAGACAGGTAAATTTTTCACAGATGGGTATTATTTCGGTATTTGTTATAACAATAAGTATAAGCATAAGAAATGTAATATTTAAAGGGGCTCCCATGAAAAAAGCGTGATTTTTTTGGGATCGTACGAAATCCTTTGTGCGAAAGTTGGACAGTCTGCTCGCAATTGGTTGGCCTTTTGCTACGTATACATACTTAATTAAATAATATTTATTAGTAGGGAGTCACGTTAGACTTAGCAAAGGTAAAATTATTGATTTTCAACATAGACACTCTTTTTTAATAAAGAAATATCAATTATGCTGATGAATGTATTGACAAACCATAGGTAGATCGGAAAAGATCGCAAAAGTTCAAATATTGCTTATTACCTAGTGACCTAAATATTGAAGTAACGGACAGAACGGATGGGCGCGCAGTGCAGTAATCAGCGCTACGAGTAGCGGTCGCGTTGCTCGTCGGTTGCATAAATCTGTTAGGTGAGGTGCAATCGGCCCGCGTTGCGTCGTATTCGCTAAGCCTCACCGAGTCGCTGCCACCGCACAACCGGTTCTTATGTTCTGGGCCAAGTTCACCATTTTACATCGCTCGACTCGTATATTTAAATTTTTACGTGACAATTATTTAAAATATTGATTTTGTAGTAATACAATTAACGTTTTATAAATATTGTAGAATAAAACATCAGGTAGTACGTTATTAAATTACCTTTTGTTTTTAATAAGTTCAGTTTTCCTTTTTCATGTATTATCTTCATTCACTAATGCTTCTCTAATCATCTAACACATACCTACTTTACTTGTTAACCTGGAAAGTCATTTGAAAATCGAGATTTTCTTCGATGCCAGCCTAACAATTAAATAAAGCTTTTTGTTACCAGGCTTATTTAGAGAGGGAATCAAATATGGCGACTAGTAATATCGTAAGACCAGAAAGTCACTACACTCATCTAAGGTACAGTCCAACTACGCCAGAAACAAATATTGCGGAAGATCCACCAAACCGGCAGAATAATGGAAGCGAGGATTCGATCTCCATAGACGAGACCTTAAACTCAATTTCAGTGAGAGCCGTCTCAGCCATGTCTAATGTGCCATTGCCGGTCCTAAACAACGAGGCTTTCTCTATGAACAAGTTCAGAAACCTTAACTTAAGAAGAGATACGATGGCGCACAGTCACACACAGCCTGCATTGGACCGAAGACGTCTTCGTGAACTGAATAAAATATTGTCAAGATGTCCTCGAGCTATGGATGCGGCTAACAGAGTAATCAGATATGCTCGTGCTCTCTGTTTGAGAAATAAGTATCAAACACAAATGTCTTGTCTGAACTGCGGTTTACTTCCTCTGCATCCAATCACTGGACAATGCGGACATACACGATGCTCTAAGTACGTCTTATGCGTTCTATTTGCAATTTTAATTCAACTCGCTATCTTTTTCGATATTAATCTTTTATTTTGTTTTAGATGCGCGGTACAAAACACTACGTGTCCGTGCGGGAGCGTGTTTTCAGAACCGTTCCACGTCAACATTATGATACGGGATCTGATTGCAAAATCTAAATTCAATGTAAATTTAAGGTTTGTAAAATATAACATTATAACTTAGATATGAACTTATGAAGTAAAAGTGTAAGCAGTAAAATTATATCGAAGACAGATATTCAAATAGCGGCGTCATATTGTATTGTTTTCTTTGTGTTTACGTTATATTTTTCTGTCGGTAGTCGTGTGTCGACCAAAACCAAAGAAAATGGTGCCGCCGATGAACCTTCGCCTGGACTGCGAGCCACATGTAAGTTTCTATTCACTAACTATATCATGCAAACTTTCCTTTAATGCGAATGTCTATAACAGTGCTATAATTGTATTTTATTATAAAAAGTTCAAATTCTAAAAATGGGCTTGCGTTTTTTGGTTATTTAAATTACCTACCCACTTCTACTGACCCCCAAATAATGACAATAGGCTCGGCCTTATTACTAAGAGAGTGAGGAATAATATAACTGATATTACATTAAATGTCTGCGTATAATAAGAAGTAATTAATATTATGTTATGACCTAACCAACGTAGACCTGTTTTTAGTCTACCAGTTTTTTTTTGTTTTATCTTTGAAGAACCCAGATTGTAACTGTCACTGTCCATTTTGCGCTTAGCAACACATTTTGCGATTACCCATTTTTTTTATTTTGCGCTTATGCGATGGTTTTTTTTTTCATGCTATTTCTTTTCATTCATTCAATGCCTTTGCTTTCGTGTTTGTTTTTATTTGTGTTGCCCATTTTATATATGTACCTATATTATTCTAACTAATACGTCAAAATATCGCGGTTATTATCTTGGAGCCCCCTTTATTAAATATAATGCAGCAACAGAAATACCTAAATCATTTGTAAAAATATCAATTGACTAGGTATCAATGAGGCTATCTCCCCCATTATTTGGAGCATAGTGGGTGTTTCGTTACATTAGTTTTACTTGCGCACTTCTATCTTCTCCGGCGGGATTAAACGGCAAACCTGTGTTATGTTTATATGTAGAGTCATAAACATAATAAATTAGATGATTTTTGTACTTATTTTGGTGAAAGCTAGGCATTGCTAGCATTAAAATATTGTCAAACAGCTGTAGGGCAAGTAGAGATTTTGCAGTGGGTTGATCTATTGCAACAGCTGGCATAGGACCACTAACTTACGTAGGTAATGTTTAAAAAAATTCGTTAAATAACATTTAATATAGTAAATGGTATATATATTTAAAATAAAATAATAATAAGTCAAACATCTTGGAACAAAAGAAAAGAGAACATTATATATCAGTCGCTTATCGCGCCGCGCAGGTCATGAAAGTCACTCGAGGGAGGCAGGTTATGCAACGACTGTTGAAGGTTTTGAAGCCCCACGGAAAATGTAAACAGTTATCTTTAATTTCAGTTAAAATCAAAGAAAACATGTCTATTGTAAATGTATGAAAGTACAGGAAAATCAATCGAAAGTTTTAACAACTCGTAGTTTTGGATAGTTTAACTCATTGCTTTTTCAATCTGGCTACAATCAAACTAAACACAAATTATTATGATTTATTGTACCTATTACATTACCTGATGGATGACTAAACATAATTATATTATGTTTCAGTGTACATATCTGTTTACTCAGTTGCGTTAATTTTTCTGTAATTACGTTGAACAATACAATAATTATAATATGCTTAATGTAACTTATTATGTAACTTAAAGTAACAAAATTATGCAGGTACGAACTATAAAGTAGGTATATTTTTATTAAGAGGATACAGTAACCTTCAGGTTCTACGGAGCTACAGGTAGTCGACCATGTTGGTAGTAATTAAATATACTCCGTGGAAAGTTTAATACATGAATATTACGTGAAAAAATATAAGCAGTCATTGTTAGATTTTATGACCCAGACCTATTTTCTCATGTCTCACATCAAAGGTTATAAGAAGAGTCTTACCAAGTGTGGACATACATAATTCCATAAAAAGTTCTGGTTTTGTTAATGTTTATTACGAAGAAACGTCCACAACTTTAAAACTGTTATGTAACCCAATCAATTTGTGAATAGCCTTGAAGCAGTAGTTGTTTATTTGTAAAATGTTCTCGCCAATTTAAGTACTTAAATGGCAACGCGGTCAGAACAAAGGTTTAAGGATATTTCCGTAAAGTAACTAGGATTTATAGGGAGAAAGAAGTAGCCGGCTATATACAGGTAGTATCTCTGGCGCAGCGTGCGTCGCAATGCAACCTCGGTGTTTCAATGTGTGAGTCAGCACAATGCACATATCCTGTTACCCAACGAGTCTCACTGTACCGGGATGCAACACAGTTGCTATTGTTATTTCGAATAATATAATAAAGCAGCGTTACAGCAGTGCCACGTCTGTATCGCGTGGGCGTTTACGACGATAATCGCGCACCGACAAGGCTATTATGTAAATCGGCCATTTGTTTGTTACATTGCTCTTATGTAACAACATTGTCGACGATGCAATGGAGAACGCTGGGTCGCAGGTTACGTTACGCCCGTTATATAGGTCTCAGTGTTCGCTAGACGGCCGCGATTACTCACGACACGATTTAGTACAAATACTTACGTCAATCACAAATTGGGATTCCTCCCTAACTGCATGATTTTCAATTAGTTGGGTATTATATTTTATGGTATTAGATTTATTAAAATAAAATAACATTAGTAGTAATGCAACGTGTAACAAAGTAAACAAGACCCTGCAGGAGCTTTGTCAAACTATGAAAACGAACATCTTTTGTTATATTGTTACTTACGACATGAATATCTTTAATTGTTTTTAACATCCATATCTGCTACGTATGGAACTATGAAAGTAGATGCTGAGTGTACTGGGTTAAACGTACTAAAACGCCTTCATGAAAACCCCATTAAATCTTTTTGTCAACTAATTCTGTTACACTTTGTATAAATTATAATTAAATGCAGTAAGTATTTGCAGTAGGCAAAAGATAACGACTGCCTAGGTAATGAAACATAATCTATTGTATTGTTTGCGTTTTGTTAAATTAACACTAAATAAACACGATACTACGTCTAATCTCTAAAGTAAATGTCCAAGAGACCGCGAACGTTATTTGCTATACGTAATAGATTCTTTGAACACTTTTAATTAGCCATATGTTTATAGTACACCATTAATATTATAGTACATACAGACAAGGGAAATGACAATACAATAAAAAATAATAATGGTCACAAAGGCGGTCTTATCACTTATATTCCTACCAGACAACCTTTGGTCATTATTTGTTAAACTTGAAATCTAAGTAAAGGAAATGTTGCTTGGGAGAATTAAGAGTATACCTACTATAAACTATAGAGAAACACCCGATATGACATTATTTAAATAAGTACAGCTTGGCCTCATGACCTGCAGTAACAGCAAATCGTCGCAGTAACCTTCAAAAAATGAAAATACAAAATTAAAATTAGCCAAGTGGTAATGTTGGAAGTCATCCATGTCATCCGTTGTCGCACTCGCATTGACAGTCATAACACGACGTGGCCTTTAAACGACCTCATTACATCTTCTGCAGGGTTGATACTTGAAGCTGGGGACGTAAGGAGTCTGACACACTTCAAACGAAGTTTACCTACCTATGCTGAATACATGATGCAACAGTTTGAGACTCCAGTAACCAAACTACATAATGTAGGGTACTACCGTTGAAGAACTATACCTACTCCCATCAAAAATATATGCACCCTGTGTAGGTGTTATTTATTTAATTTCATAAACAAACTAATCTGTAATATACTTTGTGGAAATACAAATTATAAATGACTCGGTAGAGTAGCATTCAACCAATTCTCTTTCTTCAATTTTCTTTAAGAAAATAACATAACAAGAGAAGTGTGAAGAATATGCAAAGGTAAATGTTTTAAACAGTATTCGAAACCACAAAAGTTCTATAAAACAATTGTTACGCAACCGTAAGGCATATACATTAAATGAAACAGAACATATTCGTAAAATAAGTAAATAACCTTGAAGTAATTACCTACTAAATGAATAATACAAAAATTAAACAATAAAACAAAGGATCTACCACTTGTGAATGGCTACCTACGCGGCGGCTTTATCCCTAAATGTTTTCCTTTACCCTCTGGCAACAAAAGAACTCATTCTTTACTTTCATTATAACTTAATTCTCGTTATATTTTTGAAAGTTATTAAAACTTTTCCTACTATAACATTCGCTAATGGCAAACTTAAAAACAAAAATACGTCGTAAACATCAAATCATAGAATTTACAGCACTACAAAGAATCGAAATTATTTTTACATTTTAATTAAGATTATAACTCTGACATTAATAAATAAAACCTGCCTGTAATCTATGTCGCTCGTATTATGTGTATGTAGAGCGAGTGCGATCATTAACTACACATGCACGAACACAAATAATGAGGTGTAATTACTAGGACATCGATTATACGACTGTATAAAGACTCTTTAACTTTCCAATTTACGCAAGGTGACAAAATAGATTATTTTTGTTTCAGTTTTTCTTATATAGGTACTTAGTATCCAATAATATAATAGTTTCAATTATTAGGTACAGCGTGGCTAATGAATCGAAAGTTTTTCAACAGAGTACTTACACGCATTTTGTTACTTAATAGCTATCTCATAACTCTTCCTGTAGCCACTGATAATTCCTATTATATAATTTTTTCAATTCAATACGTAACAATCACCCGCGTAATATACCTAGGATTGATAATGAACGGCTTAGGTCGTTGTCAACTGTGGCAGCGCAGCGGCGAACTTGAATGATTTCATTGTGACTTGAGAGCATCAAGATATCTGCAATGCATGCGCATCAGCGATATTCATTTATTATTTTGTTGAATTTTTAAAACACATAACCCATACTTACTACTAATGAAACATTCTACGGTTTGTGTTTTGAAATATACGTCAAAAAGTTGTTGCATGACGTTTATAAGTTAAGTACATGCTGCCCCCGTAGTTATATTGTTATCAACTTTAACTGTTCTCGAGATACTGCAAGATTAGGTAGCGATCTCAATGTTAAAAAAGTAGATAAAATATATCAATGAAAAGGTATTTAACTGGGAATTCGATATTTAATAAAAACATAATTTTTGGTACCAAGTGTTCAAAAAACTGTGTTCTACGTGGCCAAGTTTCTTATGAAAACTGTAACCGTGTGTGAAACTGCGAACCAGTGAGAAACATGTTTAGCAACAGGGGTGTAGCAATAAACCGTTGCCACTTCTCATAACTGTCACCGATTGCAGTGATCGCGACCTTGGCGTGCTTCAGATCTCGAGTCTAGCAACACGCTGTGCGCTCGTAACTCACACCGGCGTTACGTAATGAAACACAAACTCTGACTCCATTGCGGCTTATATAACCGCGTATTATGTAGTAGTATGGACGAAATGTCACAAGACGTATGGGGGCTTCTTTGTTAAGTTCGGCACTATCCTACACTACTGACTTAGCTTTCTTTCGAAATACTTCTTAAGCCTGGAGTACTGGCATTGTAGATGTTGTCATTTCCATCTCAATTATGTTACGGAATGAGAGTAAACAAAAGTTTATTTTGAAATTATATATCTTTTACAGTGAGGGGTACAAAACGACGCCGGTGCGAGACAAAAGTTGCTTACCCTAGCGGGGATAATCACCGAGTTCCCATGTCACCTCGGGTAAACAATATTTTTATGAGTCACTCTTACATAATCAGTCTCAGAATAAACACAAGACCTAATTTACTTCATTCTGTATTGATTCGTAACAAGGTTTCTGTTATATATTAATTATTTTGAGGTCCTTAAAAAAGTTGAATAAAAGAGGTTTCCTGCCAAGTCACAAACTTAACCTCAATATTTGTCAATCAAGTTCTGTGTATAGATTACCATTATTCAATTTCTCTAGACTTTTCTGTCCGTGTCTATCGTAGAAACTGAGCAATTGGTCTCAGTTTTCGTACAAACATTAGCAAAATCATTACACTGTAAAATAGAAACCAACTAGGTACTATAATCTCAAAATTGTATTAAATAATGGGGTCTGAAGTCTTGTGTTTATTTGGTTATACGTAGTTAATGTTGTTGTTGATATGTACAATTGTACATGCACTTACCTTATAGTATACCAACTGATAAGGCGGTCACGTTTTGTCACCCGTATCAAAACGTTTCAAAATACTACACACCACACAATCATATTTTTAGCGAACATTCGAATGACTTTGGGGCATTGAACTGTGCCGTCAGTTTGTAAATAAAGACTGTGGGGCTTAGTAAAATGACATCATGGTGAGTGCTCGCTAGATAGGTCCGCGATTTTTCTATAGTTGTTGAATAATAATTTAGTTGATTAATACTTATATGTCATTCTAGGCGCGGTACAACCATGGCCTGGAGCTGCTGCAGCAGGGAAGGCGGCTCGAGGCCGTGCCGTATCTCGCTCTCGCAGCAGGTGCTGGTCATCCAAGCATGCGGTTGGCACGACCACTACTGGCTCAGGTTCGATATTTCGTTTATAATAACATACATTAATACGTCCAAAAATAGACATAGATGCAGAAGTGCTTATTGTACCCACATTTCGACAATTATTTTTGAAACTACCATAGAAAAGTTAGCGTATCTATTTCCAAATATACAGAATAAAATCAGATGGTACTACTGATGACAATTTCTAAATCGAAAATCCCCATTATAGTTCGACAGAGTTATTGATAAAATTTGATTGTATTGTGTTTGTATTGTACCCACGTGTAACCAACGACAACGACTTAATAACTTTTACTTCTAACTTTTATTAAGTCATCGTCAAAGCCTCTTTCAAACTTTGTTTCATTTCTCCCCCGATTTTGTTTTCTAATTCATTTTCCTTATTTTGATAAAACAATTTCTTCGAATTACAACATCAACAGTGTAACTGTAATGTTATCAGTCTCGTTAATTACTCTGCCACTAAATATGTAGTAGTCTTGAACTGATTGAAAATAAACAACATTATGCAAACATTATAATGACAACTGTCAGCAGTTAAGATGTGTTTGTGTTGTCGTTATCTTATGACTTCATGAAGAGAAATTACCTTCTTATTCCGATGTTTTTTATTCAATTTTTGACTAGTGTACTATATTATCAATATAGCTAATGTATTAGGTTCCTCCGATAATAATCATAGACGATTAATAAACACATACAATGACATATTAAAAACAACATACAAACTTGTAATAGTTTTCAGAGGATGAGCATATAATTCATACTATTAATACTCTTTGTATGTTGCTCGTAAATTGTTATTATAGAAACTTATAAGATTTTTATCGGTTGCATGTATGTAAAATATGTTTTTGAAGGTCTTGATGACGTTACATATTTGCTGATGACGTCAGCTTAAGACGATCGACTGATAAGGTGGAAGGACCTTTTTTAAATGACTTCATCGCATGATACCTTCCTTTATTGCTTACATAATGTTTATAAAATATGTTTAATGTATTTACAGGCAATATCTACATTTAACAAAGACCCGTGGTCCCTGATACCGTTCCTGAACCGTTCCGTGCGCAGGCTGTGCTCGATGTCGTGGATCAAGCCGACTGATATGGAGTGCATATTGTGTTGTTCTACTTTTACCGACCCCGTCACAACCCCTTGCGGACACACATTCTGCCGCATATGTCTAGAACGCACAATGGACTACCGGAAGCGCTGTCCCTTATGTCTGCGCACTTTAAGCGAGTTTATGCTATCACTGGTGAGTACTTTTCATTATCTTTCTAATTACACGATATTTTTGTACTTAAGTTTTCTGCAAAAATGTGAGCTGAACCATAAAGATGGAATAGGTTCATAATGTCAAAAATTATGTTAAAATCAACATATGCCGTAATGACCATTGAACTATATACCACCTACCTAATCATTATGATTGGTTATCACATTAACACTGACTGTTATAGCATAGTTTTGTTCTGTTTCTTATTGCTAAATCGATTGTGTCGGTTTTAAACTAACCGTACGCATGTTTCAACATGTAATTAGCAGTCCACGGTTAAAGTACGTTTGTTTGGAACGTGAGTTCCATAGTTTCTAAATATTGTATCGCCTACCCGTGTTAAAATTCACACTTTACGGAGCAATTCATGCCCCTAAAGAATGCTTTTGTTCATGTAGAACATAATAGGTTGCTACTGGCAAGCCACATTGTACCTTTTAGGTCCTTAATACAAACGATTTAATTATTATTGCTATCTCTGTCATCACGCTGAACTTGGCTTAAATATTTACAGAAAATTTTAAATTTAAAGGGTGTATGTACCCCTTTTTAATTTAAAACCGAATTATAAAAATATGTAGATGGGTCTCACATGACCCACTTCCAAAATTTGAGATCCCCTACAGTGGTAGGACAACTGGTGAGTTGTCTCATAGATTTCGAGATGAAACGGCAATACCGCAATACACGGAATGAGTGAAATAAAAAATTAAAGGGTCTTAACGGATTAGTATGCGAATCGATACTCTAATAGCATTCTATGACGATACTGCTGTGTATTTACATAGCATTTCTAAACGTAAAGCCTAAGATTAGGCAACATTTACAGTAACAGATAGTACTTATTAATTTTTTGTGAAATTTGTTTTTCAGACTATGAACACGGTGTTCGTGGAGGCGGCGCTGAGAAGTATTAATGCCATTATTATCCCAGAACCTCCGGAGCCTGACCTTATACCTATCTTTACATGTACGGTCGCCTACCCAACGTAAGTACTATTTGTCATCTTACGGCCGAAATTAATAATCTTTATTAATCAAAAATTTGGACAGAAACTCTACAAATCTCAAATATCAATCTGAATCCACCGATTTTGTATTGAGACAGGTCCGTTACACAGCACACTGCATTTTTTTTTCGATGTAACCTGGTGCTACCTCTATTGCCACTATACAATGTCTCTGTCTAGTAGACTTTTGACAACTCTATCAAATCTTATTGAAAAAAAAAACCAATACTAAAACTTGTAAAACCGAACAATCTCGGGTTTGCAAAACTGTTGCTCTGTGGAATACAACACGAAATACACCTTTAGTATTAGTTGATATATCGGCCACAGAGATGAAAGAATTTAAAAAAACGGGTCCTGCAGAATTTAAAAAACAGACAGTCTGTTGATAGACAGATGAACAGCGGAGTTATAATAATAGGGTCACGGTTTTACTCTTTGAGTAAGGTAAACAAACTTCTGCAAGATTCCCATCGCAGAGAATGATAATGTATCTGTTTAAATACATCAAATGAAGATCAGATCAAACGTGACGGAAAAAGAAAGTAATATAAACACGGAATATGCTCGCTAATTAGTACACACCAATAACGTGTCGTATGTATGCTCATACCCGATTACTGACCGCGGTGGTGGCATCCGCATACCCAGTGAAGTTTTCTCCTATCGATTCTATATATTTATGTGCACGTACTTTTTGCGTGCGACAGACGATTGTTTAAGCGACTGTATCTAAGTAGAGCTCGTCGAGAGATCGCTAGACCCAAAATAAATACTAGTTACTAGAGGTCGCCCAGTGGTCGAAATTCGACTATAATATGTTCGAGATTAATATTATTAATTTTAATATTACAAACAGACACTGGAATCTTATTATAATAGTTGTAATTTAAAATTTCTCTGAATACACAATTTTTTGTAAAAATGTTTTATCATTGGCAAATGTCCGTGTTTTTTATATTCGTAAATGTGCAACCTCAAACCATCGATGGTCTAGGTTCGCTGCTGTCATAGCAGTAAGTCCCGTCTTTGAGGAGAGGCTTGAGAGAGATACGTCGGCGCTCTCACCTACCGCCTGACGCAGGTCATAGTTAACCGGCCGATCATCATCTCTTCAGCCTCTTGGCAGTCTTGGGAGTCACATAACCTTGATATTGATGTCAACTAGTTTAAATATTTTAAGATTAAGATGTTTATTTACAAGTAGATATCTGTACGTAATAAATATGTTGGTATTTTTAGTGTGCCATGCCCGCTGTACATCTTTGATCCTCGTTACTGGCTAATGATCCGACGCGTGCTCGAGTCCGGTTCCAGAAAGTTCGGTATGGTGACTTGCGATAGGGGACAGGACTATAATGACTATGGCACGGTAAGTATTTATTGTAATTTATAAAAATAATACGATTTTTTCTACATAACCATATTAAATCACAACATAGAAATAATGTTAATATTTCACAAACTTGAGTTGTATGAATCCTACAAATATTATAAATGCGAAAGTTTGTGAGATGCATGTTTGTTTACTCTTTCACGTCAAAAATAACACATAGGCCACTTTTTATCCCACGGGAACGAGAGCGAAACCGCTTGCAGAAGCTAGTAAATAATAAAACAAAAGTTAAATCTGCTATTGTCAACTGAAATTGTTCTGTGTCTCAAAGAACTTTTTTCCTGCAGATATTGGAAGTGCGCGACTGCGTGCATTTTGAGGATGGCAGGTCCATTCTGTCTACCATAGGCTTGACACGTTTTAAAGTGATTGAAAGAGGAGTTAGAGATGGGTACGTATTTTATATTTATCATATTTATGGGATAGGTTAGCAGCAATTAGAGTAGTTACAAGTGCGTTACCAGACTTTTCGGCTGGACTGGGCCTCCGTTAACCTTCAATGTCGATTCAGTAACCAGTCATTTGTATGAACGTTTTAAAAATAATACGAATTTAAAATTAACAGGAAATGTGTGTTACAGATTGGAAGTGGCGCGAATTTTGCCCATTCAAGATGTTTGTCCGGCCAATGAGATGGAGGTGTTAGCATATAGACTGTTAGGCAACAGGATAATACTGAGGGCTCTACTCTGGCTGAGCAGTTTGGATAGTGATGTACTGCAGGACATTGAGACTACGTTTGGCACTCTGCCAGAGAGTAATGGCAATGACGAATGGTGGTCCACTACTGACGGCCCAGCGTGGCTCTGGTGGCTAGTAGCGGTACTGCCGCTAAGGCCTGAAATTAAGGTAACCTATTTCGCGATTTCCATTAAACTTCTATATTCTATTCCTTGGCTTTGCTATTGTTATTTCTTTGTTTAATTTTATCATCATCACACCTTTTATACCCGAAGCAGTAGGCAGAGGTGCTCGTTACGGTACTTAATGCTACTTGTAAAATGTACTATTGTTGTGTAACTAATGTTCACTATTTATGTTATGAGTCCCATGTAATAGGCTCACCCCCTAGGTGAGCCTATTGCCACAATCTACCGAACACAATTCGAGACTCCGTGCTACAAATGAGTTTTTTTTAAACCCCAGCACTACTTTGCCCAAACCGGGATCAACCCGAGACCCCTTGGCAATCGCACTTGCGACCACTCGGCCGAGGCAGACTCGTTTATTTTCTCTTTTTCTTTTGTTATTGGTTGTTTAGTTGGAATCCGTATTGTATTTTGTTGTATTATTAGTTGCTTACTGCTGCGATGCCAAATAAATTCACTTTCTTTATTTTATTTGTATAGCTTACGCATATTGCTTAATATAATAATCATGTTCAAATAAGTAAAAACGTAAAACAGACTCCTTACCCAATAGTCAACCAACGACAACAGAGACTCGAATTCTAAAATTTTTATTTACTTATCTTTGCAGGTACTAATTCTGTCCACAAACTACCTCGTGAAGCGTATGATGGCGGTGGCGCGAACGCTAGAAGCTGTCGAGCAAGTCTCACTTACTTCGTCCAGACGGTGCCGCCTCCCGGCTACTAACGCTTCAGGTGCCAACCATGCAAGAAGTGGTGAAAGCGCCTCATAAGTTCAGTCCAATTATTATTACAATAATTCAAATAGAGCAGAAAACATCCCATATTAAATTTATAAAACTATTTGAAATAACGGCTAACTCATGTGACCTATTTTAATATAGATATAAATAGTTAGCAACGGGACTATGAGCAGTGTGCGCGGCGGAACGTCCGCGTTAGCAAGCCGTTACTTTTGGTTTAGCAAGTCTCGAGATATTACAAATCGGTATCTTTGTTTAAGTTATCATTACTATTAAGATTAAAATGATTATTTCGTGTATTTATGCTCCTGGAGGAACGACAACGAAGGTTTAAAATATTAAGAAACCAGGTAATTCCTGTCATAACATTCCTTCAATTGAGTATTCATATTTGTATGTAGCATGGCTACAGCAAAGATAATGTAGTTGTGAAACCTCGTTGATCAAGTGCAGTCTCGAACTCTATTCACGGTCTGATTGTAATTTAAACGTAAGTGTAAAACATTAAAGAAAAAGATCTTATTAAAATGTATTTTTCAAAGGAAACTGGGCAAATATGGCCCAAGTTTCGCCTCAAACAAAAGATGAATGTGCCTAAAGTGTGGGGTAGCCATGCTTCGGCACGAATAGGCCGGTTCGACCGGTGTTATCAGTCCGGCCTCTCAGGAAACCGACGTGAAACAACACTTGCGATGTGTTTCGTCGTGTGAGTGAAGTTACCGGAGGCCCAATTACCCCCAATCTCCCTAATCCCCGAATCTCCAACAATTCTCGATCCCCATCAGGCCGGTAACGCATTTGGATTGGAACACCTCTGGTGTTTCGGGTGTCCATGGGCGGCGCCGATTGCTTACTATAAAGTAACCAGTCTTCTCGTTTACTGGTTTACTCCATAAACGACATGTTCATGCAGTTCAATCTCCCCTAATCTTCAAATTCCTATTCCCAAAAAGCCGGCAACGCACTTGTAACGCCTCTATTGTTACGGGTACGGGTGTCCATGGGCGGTGCCAATAGCTTACCTCAGGTGATTGATCCGTCTGCACTTTTCTCGGCTTATCCCCAAAATAATGATTTTTTACACTGTTTAGCTCTATGCGAATTATTGTAGCATTCGTGTTAGTTTGTCCTGACTGGTCTGTCAGTAAAATTAGTCGTCCACCGAAACTACTATGTAGTTTGTATTATATATTTACGTAGGCAATCCATTTCTTAACATTTTTCAATAACTGTATACTTCTATTTTTTTAAATACTTCGTTCTTATCCTACTGCAATATACTATTTAATACTAATTAGTAGGTAATGTTGGAACACCGCCATATTTCATAGTTGTATTTGAGTAACAGTTTTTGATAACCATTTACTGGTTCCACATCCTTTAATTAATAACGACAGGGTATATTATTATAGTTCCCTAATGTCTGGTTCCTGTTGCCAACTCATTTCGTAATAATAAGTTATTAGACCTTACCCTTTTTCTTGTAAATATGATGTTATCACTAATAGTCGCAGTTTAACAAAGTCAATGACCACATTTCGATTACAAGGACTACTCAATATTTTTTGGTAAAATAAGGAATCGGGAACATAGATCAGTCCCTTACCACCGGCGACTGAACCTCAAATTTAATGAATTGCAGGGTCCTTGAATGTGATTTAAAATCTTAGTGTAACCTTTCCTCTGATAAGTAGATAGATTTTACTCTTGTACTAAAAATGGACCTTTAAATTTTTCTACAACATTTGTCTAGAAGTAATCTATGTAGGTAGTTATTTTTATTAGTCTGTATCTGTAAACTTTGCCATGTTTGTAAACAATCACATGTTGCTATTAGGTGTGTCTGCTTTTAATAAATTACAGTATTTAACTTCAATAACATGTATTACAAAGGTATTTACGTAGCATAACATTGACTGCATACAGTTTTGTGTAGTTCAAATGTCATTTAAATGTCGTTCAATATTATTCCAACTGAAGAAAACGTAGTAACAACTAGCCTTGCTTTCTTACACTTGCTAATAATTATATTATTTAAGATACATAATGAAATAAAAATGTATTTCATTCAATTGCGTGGGTAGTGTATAATAATAATACCTGCACTGCTTTTTGTGGCGTTTTTCGCGCAAATATTTATCTAATGTAGTCATAACCGCGCATCCGAGACCAGCACTGCGTGTGACTTATCTGTACCAGCGTACATTTAACCTTCACCGCTTCAGGCATAAAACTAAAGAAACAATCAAACACACTTTCGCATTTATTTAGTATACTATAGTTAATATATCATGATTACTATAATTTACAGATATATACCTAGGTAAGAAAAAGTGATTCAATAATGTTGTGTAAGAACTTTTTTATGTGATCTACTTATATTAAACAGACCAATATTGATTTAAACGATTGTTTACATCGTGAGCAGCGTCTACGTGTCTAAACAATGGACTTGTAATAGTGTATCCCTTCGTAAGGTTAAAATACATTCCACGTATGTTTATAACTCTACATGATACATATTCAAATTTTTCTATTAGGATACAAATAGTTAAGCATTTTTTCTGCTGTTTTCAGACGTATCATGTAGGGTTTAGGGTCGCTACTTGTTAGTACATATATTTTATTGTATCTTTTTTGCATTTTTTTATTTCTGTGCTATATTGAATCACGTCCTAATTATTGCATTCTAGTATATTATGCTATTTTCTTTTATCATGCACATTCCAAAGAATGATCCATTCCATTCGACTGTGCATAAATATTATTTTGATTTTTTAAATTCTTATAACTATGCAAAAAGCTTTATATTTCAATTTGTTGCCTTGTAGGGCGTTATTTTGTTAAAGGAAAATAGTTGTCTAAGTATTCAATTTATAGATTACTGTCATTGATTACAAAAATCAGAACATCCAAGTTATAATCACTAATTGCAGGTTTTATATTGCCCATTAATAATGGTACCCTAATATAATTTTATGAACTTAATGATTGTAAATATTTATGGATAAATTCTCAAAGAAACTTTTGTAAAAACTTTCAACATATTACGGTATTAGAGATGTCTTATTTCTATAAAGAATTAGATATTATATACTAAAATTAATCACTAAAATTAAGATAATGGGTGGCAAATATTCAATATTCCAATGTAGTTCTTAAGAGTGTTCCATTTGTGTGTAATAAAAAAATGCAGAATTGATAAATGTAACCAAAATCTCACTTTTAAATTTTCCACTGTTTTGTTTTCATAAAAACGCTCTATAATAGCGATTGCACTAAATTGCCTACAAAACTACTTTAATTTAAAGAATTATAAAAATATAGAAGTTTTGATCACAAAAGGAATTAAAAATTACCTTCTCTACGTTCTTCATAAATATGTATAGTGACATTAGCATTATATTGTAAATACTAATTATGTTTAGATGAACTTAATTTCTCAGCAATATATTATTATTATAAAATTGTGTAGTATATGAAGTAAGTATTTAACGAAGTACCTACCTACTGAGTAATGGAATGCACCGTGATTTTTTAATGTATTTGGTAGTTACAAATTATTACGTAACAATCAATATACTAAATTATAAGTGTGACGATCACCATAATTCATAGAAAACGTGTTTCGTCATGAGTGAGGTTACCGGAGGCCCAATTATTATGTGCATCGGCAAGGCGGTTGTATTTTTTAGATTTGCTTAAAATTACAGTTATTTGGTACTTTCTGTGTACATTTTTATCTTTACATACTTTTCTTGAAAGTCTGAGTACACCCGCCTGCACAATGAAATTTAAAAAATTAGGTACTCGCGCTTACCTTGCTTGGTCTATCTTTATATAATTATAAATATGTGGACCCTTTTTGTAACACGACTCTAAAGTCACGGTGCATAACGTGCTGCATTTGGACCTTTAAACTTATTAATGTGAACTCAATGTATTATTGCGAATCTGAGCACCACTAAATCAAGCTTAAGGTTATAAATTATAATTACTTTCTTTTATATAATTATTGTAGAAAACGCAAAGTTAAGATCTCAAAGTATTTAGAATAAGAGTTTGTTAGCAATCATGTTTCAAAAAATTATATTTTTGTTTTTTATACTATTATCTATTAGTATTTAAGTAAAAATTTCGATTAAAATTGATTGGTTGGTTACAATTTTATAATTGAAAGCTTTCTATGGGATTTAATCTCATTATGAACGAAACCGTAATATTGAGATATTACAGTAACGAATACCGTTCTTGTGGATGTGTAGGTAACTCATAGTATGTAGTTATTATTTCTCTATTTTATATGGTAGTGTACCTACGAGTAGGTACACTATTCTACAGGGCAAAATGCCCTTCTAGAACTGTTTCTACTAAGCAGCTTTGATGTTTTTATAATACTCTTTATTACAATGTACTAGTAAGAATAAGTTCATATTCTAAATCAAACATTAAATCAAGCAATAGGTACAATGCGGCTAGTGCAATTTTAGTTTGATTTAGGATTTGAAATTATATTTACTAGTTCCCTTATATTATTATATTTTTATTTGTACTTAATTACGTCATTCCTTTCTTTAGCTTAAAAAATGATCTCATTATCAATAGATCATTGTTTGGCTACTCAGATATCAACTACTCATATATTGTAGTTTATATTTTTGTTACCGATTAAAAAGGAGGGATATAAATCAGAGGGATAAAAATTATAAATATCGAATCATTATCATCGCTTACCACCAGGCGAGATAGTGGTCAAACGTCGAGCCATCAAATATAAAAAAGAAAAGGTAATTTTATATATTGCATTGTCATATAATCATGTCATGGCGATGCATTCAATGAAATAAAAATTACGGGGACAAATGAAACTTACTTCCGGTATTTCCCCAATTTTAAGTTCAGGTGAGGGTGCCACAAATATTCCCAATTTCTTCTATTTCGGGGAAAATGAGATGGAACCGACAAAATCAATTAATTTTCTCTCTAGTTTATTTTTCTCCTGTAGTGGTACATAGAGTAGTGAACAAAAT